ATATTTGACCACCCAGTTTTGTTCTTTCCAGCCAAACGGATGAGACAGAATTAGCCTGACAAAGACTTTCTAGTTCTTAGAAAATCAGTTATTTCTGTTTATACAGGGCAGTTATACAGGGCTGTGCAGAAGTAGGTTTCCAGTTGTGAGTACGCTAAACAGAGTTTATTCTTGTGTTATTTTATTCATTGTTATTTCCCATACGAACAACTGTAAAACCTACTGTTGTTTACCTTGTACCTTAAGTCTCTTCTATTTTGCCAGGAAGATTTTTTAAAAAAAAAAAAAAAGCTCTGCCTTTAAAGGAAGAGGAGATGCATTCACAGTTGACCCTTGAAAATGCAGGGTTGCAGCAGCCAGTCCCCTCGTACACGCTTTTTTCAATAAGCGTGCAGCTCCCTGCGTGGCCTGGGCATTTGCGACCGGTAGTGGGAACCTGGGTGCAGAGGCCAGCAGTGCGTGTTCCCGGCAGATTTATACAGGGGCCTGAGCACCCAAGGATTTAGGGCCCATGGGGCAGAGCAAGTTGGGGGGGAGTCGAAAGTTACATGCAGATTTTCAACTGCACAGGGGTTGGTGCCTCTAACACCCTCTCTGTCCAAGAAAGTTTTGATCCAGCTCAAAGTAGTCTTTATGATAGTAGCAACATCACTTACATTTTGTTAATATTCATTTTGAATTTCCCTTTAGGAGGTTTTGGACATCTTGCCATTTTAAATTCTTGTCTGCAAACCAGAAGCATAGACGATGGAGAGCTATTACATGGTATACTGAACATTCTAATGTGCTGGAAGAAAGACCATGAGGATATTTTTCTTTTCAGTTGGTGGGTGATGCTTTATACTGTTTTCCTCCGTATGTACAATCTGGACCCAGGATGTGTGTTTTATAGTCACCACTGTGCAGAGTGATAGGCGGTGGACATTTCAGTCGCTCTTCCATCGTGTGTGAGGTGAAAGGGAATGTCGTCTGTAAGGTTCTTTAATGCTTTGTGTCCTGCTCTGCTTTTGTCCTCGTCACAGTGACCTGTCAGGAGTGAGCCCAGAGGTCCTGGGAGTGAACGTGGAGATCGTGCGGTTCCTCTCCCTGTTCCTGAGGTGCTGCTCCTCCCCTCTGGCCGAGAGGGAGTGGGACTTCATCTTGTGCTCCATGCTGGCCTGGCTGGAGGTAAGCGCACGGGTGTCTCGTGCCCCTGCCGGGTCTTCGTGCCGATCTACAGAGCAGCACGGCCGCCCAGGCGTGTCGTTTACGTAATGATGGTGACCAGCGCCTTTGGGGACGAACTCCTCGCCGCCTCCCATTTCACGGGACAGTACGAGGACAGGCTCCTTATCCTTCCGTGACCCTCTCCCAACCGCTGTTGAGCTGGTCTCCCCATTCACTCATTTTAATGTAGTGTCTGCTGCGCAGCCCTTTCTGGTTTTATCTTTCCATGACAAGATTTTTGGACTTTTGGTTCTAATTAAATTATTCTTCAAACACACTGTCAGTATTGCCAGAGTAACTGATGCCTCAGAGGTCAGTTGACCCAGGGGGATCGGCGTCTTTCTGCGACCCAGTGCGGCCTGGTGAGCCGTCAATTGTGGGCGCCAGCGTGCAGGGGGTCAGGGTGGACCTGGTTGGAGTCTCTGCCTCGCCTGCAGTTGGCTGGGGGTTTAAACGTGACCTAGTTGAGCCTCGGTGTCCTTATTTTAACATAATTTAAAAATGCCCAATTAGCAGGGCTCCTGAGAATATTATAAATGTGTCTTTAATGTGTTCCACTTGCTAAGTGGTCATGGATGCTACTTTGTTTTGTAGTTTTTGAAATAAAAAAGAACATTTCAGAATAAATGGGTTGATTCTAATTTCTAGTATTTAATTTTGAAAAAATTATTTTGATGTGAACTCTAGAAATGCTCCCTGAGAACGGAAAGGGCCTTGGCTACATGGCCTTGTTTTTGGATGTTCCGGTAGAGGTCTGCTTACCGACTTCATTTCTGTTTCCCAGACGACGCGTGAGAACTACGCGCTGCGCTCTGTGCCGCTGGTGCAGCTGCTGGCCTGTGTCAGCTGCGCTCTGGCCTGTGAGCTCAGTGCCTTCTTCGATTCCACAACGCGGGACCCTGCTGGCCATCTTCCTGCAAACCTAGTCAGTGAATGGAAAGAATTTTTTTCCCAAGGCATCCACAACTTGCTTTTACCTCTCTTGGTGACAGTTACAGGCAAGTAAAAAGGGGCGTAATCATGAGATTCGTTAAGAACGACTTGTCAAAAGATCCACAACCGCATCTCTGGGTGTTTCAGTCAAAGAGTCCAGCAGAAGAGGAGACAAGAGCCGGAGAATCAGGGCCTCTCAGAGCGTCATGTGCTCAGTCACGATGAGAATTGAAATGGCTTCAGAGGCCACTGCAGAGTGAAAGGATAGGAGTCAGATACACACAGATTTATAGCTCAGACCTGTCTTAACGAGAATAGAAGTCGCCGAACAGTTGAGATCACTGAATGCTATACACATTCAGTTCATGTTTCTAGAGTTATAGTTGGTTTAATGTTAAGTTTTTTGTTTGTTTGTTTGTTTTTTTAATATATTTTATTGATTTTTTTACAGAGAGGAAAGGAGAGGAATAGAGAGTTAGAAACATCGATGAGAGAGAAACATTGATCAGCTGCCTCCTGCACACCCCCTACTAGGGATGTACCCACAACCAAGGTACATGCCCTTGACAAGAATCGAACCTGGGACCCTTCAATCCCCAGGCCGATGCTATATCCAGTGAGCCAAACCAGTTAGGGCTTAATGTTAAGTTTTAATATAGTTTTCTTAATTGATTTTAAAGAGAGAGATAGAAACATTGATGAGAGAGAAATACTGATTAGCTGCCTCCTGCCTCTTGGGGATCGAACCCACAACCGGTCATGTGCCCTGACTGGGAATCTAACCAGTGACCTCTTGGTACCTGGGACACAGCCCACCCACTGAGTGACACCGGCCGGGGCTCTGGTTTTCCAGGTGCATTTCCTTTAGTAACATTGATCATCTGTGAAGCAGTCAAGCTGTGCTTCCCGTTTTGTTTTGGGATGTGCATGTGTGTTTTTCTTTTTGTCATCAGGAGAAAGCAGAGATACGTCTGAAACATCCTTTCAGAATGCAGTGCTAAAGCCCATGTGTGAGACGTTAACATATATCCCAAAGGATCAGCTTCTGAATCACAAGCTCCCTGCAAGGCTGGTCGCTGGCCAGAGCACACACTTGCCGGAACATCTCCAGACTTTGCTGAACACATTGGCTCCGTTACTCCTCTTCCGAGCTCGGCCCGTGCAAATTGCTGCCTATCAGATGCTGTACAAGTAAGAGTCTGAACAGATGTCAGGGCGCTCTAAAATAATAGAATATGTATTCAGTTTTATCGCTTTTAAAGTCATTTACAGTTACAGAAACAACAGAAAATGGAGTAAACTTGTGCGTTTGTTCTGACGAGGGAGGCCAGGGTTTGATCTCACCGTGTTCTCCATGCAGAGTTCACATTTAGAGCATCCTGGCCATAGGTCGTTGTTTCAGGAAATATTTACAAAATATATTCATTATAAAATAAGTATTGGTCTTTCTGCTCTTAAACATGATTTTTAACAAAAAACAATTTAAAATAATGTTCTGATTTCCAGGTTGATGCCAGAATTACCACAATATGATCAGGATAATCTAAAGTCATACGGAGATGAAGAGGAGGAACCAGCCTTGTAAGGTTTTTAATGATGTGTTTATTACAGTGTCATAACCGATCTCACTTAGCGTGACTTCTCCGTGTGGAGCGTATGTTCGTTCAGCAGGTCTTCACAGCCAGCTGTGAGACGTAATGAAATCTAGAGTTCACCCAGAAAGATGGTTTCTCTCTCATCTTAATTGCTCCTTAACCATATTTTAGTTTGCTGCTATTTAGTAAAATTTCTTATGGCCACATGGTAGCTTTTGTGGCCAAATGTCACTTGAGCACCCAGTTAGTGCAAAGTATTGATTAAATGCTGAGGGGGGGATACAGTGTTGAGTAAATGTTCTTTTGTTTTTTAATATATTTTTATTGATCTCAGAGAGGAGGGGAGAGGGAGAAAGAGATAGAAACATCAATGATGAGAGGGAATTATAGAGCGGCTGCCTCCTGCACGCCCCCTTCTGGGGATCAAGCCCACAACCTGGGCATGTGCCCTTGACTGGAATCGAACCCGGGACCCTTCAGTTCGCAGGCCAACACTCTGTCCGCTGAACCAAACCAGCCAGGGTTAACTGTTCTTTTTCATAAGAAGTTTGCCCTCGCTGGCTATTACAGTATGACCTGTACAAGTAGCCAGTGTGTGACGGGTGCTAAGAAAAGGACAGGGAGCATGTTGTGGGCCATCCTGCTGGCACCAGGAAGGAAGACTTCCTCTTGCGGGAGAGACGTTTGTCTGGCTCTTCAGGTGAGGCAGCGAGCCGCCCGGCCGGAGACCGTGCACGAGCGTGGAGGCGCGAATCGTCAGGCTGTGCTGGGATGGCGAGTGGTCCCCCCTGACACACGTTCTTACTGTGTGTCTTCCACTCAGTGAAGGCAGGGGCTTTTGTCTCTTGTTCTCAGTCATGTTCGTAGCATCCAGAGTGGTTCCTGGCCTAAAGCAGACTCGAGTGCTGCTCATTTGTTGAAGGAAAGCATACATGAACAAGTGTGTGGAGTTGCGGGGAGGAGGGGTAGTGGAAGACGAAGCTGGAAGGGAGCTTACAAATGACACTTTTTAGGGTTTGGGCATTTTTTGGTAGGAAATGGGATATCACCAGCTGATTCTGGCAATAGTATGAATCCTAAATTGTACGCAGAAGTAGAGACCATTCCAGAAATCATAACATGCGTTGGAGGCGTGTGGGGAGTGGAGAGCTGAGCTGGACTGTGAGCTCTGGGGACTGTGGCCTGGAGTAGAGAAAGGCCAGTGTGGGAGGTGGTGGTGGTGGAAGAAAACATGGCAGGAGCTGGAAGACCCGTGGGTGTGGGGAGGGGAAGGGAGCCACGGAGGACACAGGTGGAGGACACAGGGTCCCAGGGTCTCACCAGGTCCCCTGCAGAGAACCTCCCCGGAGGAGCACATGGAGCCTGCGTGGCCGTGCCTGTTAACCTTCCTGAGCAGATGCCCCGCAGCCTGTCTCGTGCCCACTGTAGGGGTGAAGGCCTGGCAGGGCTTGGCAGCCTCGTTCTTCCAGTCGCTGAGGGACTTGAGTCATTTCAGCTTTGCGAAGGGTGTGATTTTTTTCCATCTATAAAACAGATGGTTGAAATAGATGTTTTCTAAAAGGGTCTTTTTTTTTAAGTGGTAACTTCTAGAGTCCATATTTTTATAGCATGTAGCATTTCTTAAATATATAATTTAAAAGCTTCATATTTAAAAACACTTTACATGTAATATATATCATATTTACATCTTTATGAATGTAAAAGATATAATATACAATACATATATTTTCATGTATAAATGATATACATTTTATGTCTTTCATTTTCTATAATTGCCATTATGTAAAATTCGGAGTTCAAGGTGAATCTATAAAAGGAGATTTTTAAATGGTTTTGGGGAAATAAAGAAAGGTTTTTCTAAAACGTTGGAGGGTGTGCATGCTGACAGTCGCTGAGGGAAGCTGTGAAGACAGTGGGTGTCTCCTCCTCCCAGGTCCCCGCCGGCAGCACTGATGTCCCTTCTCCACGCGCAAGAGGACCTGCTGGAAAGCGTCCTGGGCTGTGTTCCCGTCGGGCAGGTCGTGGCCATCCAGCCGCTGAGCGAGGACTTCTGCTCTGTGCTGGGTTACCTCCTCATCCTCACTTTCTTCAAAGCCTCTTCCTCTCAGGTCAGTAGCCGTGGGGCAGTCGGACAAGCCTGTCCTCAGCCTGTCCTCAGCAAATCCCTTATTTAAGACCCGTGTTCAGAGGAAGACGTGCGCACATGACCCGCGCTCTCTGTGTGGGCTCTGTGTGGGGATGTCCGATAGCAGTCATTTTGCCCACGTTACTCTGCAGCGTCATGTTTACTTGGAAAATATACTCTAGTTTACTTACCTGTTTTTAAAATCTTCTAGGCAGGTACCGAATTTGAGAATTCCTAGAGGCTTGGAATCAGTCTAATAGGACAAGTCCTCCTAGAAGACGTAGTTTCCCTCTTCAGTGGAAGTGCAGGCACTCCTTTCCGACGTGCATTTTCAGAATGCTTACGTAGGGGTCCGCTGTGCGCATGACCCATCTCTTGGGACAAGTTTGTCACCAGGCGCATCTTTGCCTTTGTATCTCGGGAACCAGGTCACAGGGCAGCAGCCACCTCGGTGTCGAAATCACTGGGTTTCTCTTCAGGCCTCCCTCCCCGTGGCCTGATCCTCCCCGTGGCCTGATCCTCCCCGTGGCCTGATCCTCCCCGTGGCCTGAGCCTCCCCGTGACCTGATCCTCCCCGTGGCCTGATCCTCACCGTGGCCTGAGCCTCCCCGTGGCCTGAGCCTCCCCGTGGCCTGAGCCTCCCCGTGGCCTGATCCTCCCCGTGACCTGATCCTCCCCGTGGCCTGATCCTCACCGTGGCCTGATCCTCCCCGTGGCCTGAGCCTCCCCGTGGCCTGAGCCTCACCGTGACCTGAGCCTCCCTGTGGCCTGATCCTCCCCGTGGCCTGAGCCTCACTGTGGCCTGAGCCTCCCCGTGGCCTGAGCCTCACCGTGACCTGAGCCTCCCTGTGGCCTGATCCTCCCCGTGGCCTGAGCCTCACTGTGGCCTGAGCCTCCCCGTGGCCTGAGCCTCTCTGTGGCCTGAGCCTCACTGTAGCCTGAGCCTCCCCCGTGGCCTGAGCTCCGTGTTATTTGCTGGTGACATACCTCAAGAGCTCATTGTTGGACTTTTACATTTGTTTCCTTAAAAATGTTGCTCATTTCAAAAAATTGTCCTAAATTGAGGCCCGTATGTGTAGGAATTTTGGTCTTGTCATCATATATTCAGAAATTTGGAAAATGGCCATGCACCATCTTTTTCATTAAACCAGAGTGTGGGAAGGGCACAGAGAATTGCCCAGCGGCTTTGCTAAGCCTGGAACTGAACTGAGCTGTGGACAGATAAACCACTGTAACCCACCAAATAACACAACTAGGTGAATCCTATAACAGAATTTAAAACCCACAAAAACCTTAATCAGCCCCAAAGCTGTGTGTGTGTATGTGTGTGTGATTGTGTGTGTGAGATTGTGTGTGTGAGTGTATGTGTGTGTGAGTGTATGTGTGTGTGATTGTGTGTGTGAGATTGTGTGTGTGAGTGTATGTGTGTGTGAGATTGTGTGTGTGAGATTGTGTGTGTGAGATTGTGTGTGTGAGATAGTGTGTGTGAGTGTATGTGTGTGTGAGATTGTGTGTGTGAGATTGTGTGTGTGAGATTGTGTGTGTGAGTGTATGTAAAAAAACCCTCGCTCATTTGTCCTCAGTTCCCATTTCCTCTCGAACCCTTCAGCCCCTGGCAACCACTTACCTGTGTTCTATCTCTGGATTTGCCGATTGTGGGCATTTTATGTACAGGGCGTCCCGAAGGCTGTCTTACACACTCAACAGCTGGTAGCTTAGTTGGTGTTTTTCTTTTCAGATTTGACCCATTGGAATTAATAGTTACTCACAGTGTGTGCACATTTGGGGGACACCCTCTAGGTAGCCTTTTGCGTCTGCCTCCTTCCCTGAGCTCGAGTCTCAGGAGCCACCCGGTAGCAGCGGGTGTCAGGGCTGGAGGCCTTTCTGTGGCTGAGTCTCCTCTGCTGATGGCCCTCCACGTCGTGTTCACGTACCACATGCGAGCGTAGCACGTTCACCTGCTGGTGAATTCAGGAGGTTCCACTTGTGGCTCTTGTGACTCGCGCGGCTGCGAGCGTTCATGTGGACATGTTTGTGTGCACGTTTTTATTTCTGGTGTTATTTACCTAGGAGTGGGATTGTTAGGTAAGATGTGTGTGGTTTTAAAAGTGCATTGATATGTATGATTAATTTTTTAAAATTTCCTTTCTGCCCTGGCCGGTTTGGCTCGGTGGATGGAGCATTGGCCTGTGAACTGAAAGGTCCCAGGTTCGATACCGGTCAAGGGCACATGCTGGGTTGTGGGCTCGATCCCCAGTGGGGGCCTTGCAGGAGGCAGCCGATCCACCATGATTCTCTCTCATCATGGATGTTCTATCTCTCTCTCCCTCTTCCTTCCTCTCTGAAATCAATAAAAATATCTTTTAAAAAAACAACACAAATGTATTATTCCACCTCCATGTAGTAAAAAGTATAGTTGTACAATGTTTAAAAAAAAATTTGCTCTCTATATTTTGAAAAATTTTAAAGTTAGAAGTAGAATAATTCATGAAGTCATGTATCCTTTTCCGACACTTTCACACTTGCTCTGTATTCACTTTCTTCCTGATGATCTACTTGAAAGTAAGTTGCAAACATCATGATGCTTTACCAAAAGTATTTAAACATGTATCTCCTGCCCTGGCTGGTTTGGCTCAGTGGATAGAGGATCGGCCTGCGGACTGGAGGGTCCCAGGTTCGATTCCCAGTTAAGGGCACAGGCCCGGGTTGTGGGCTCCATCCCCAGAAAGGGGTGTGCAGGAGGCAACCGATCAATGATTCTCTCCTATCATTGATGTTTCTCTTTCTCCCTCTTCCTTCCTCTCTGAAATCAATAAGAATATATTTTTTAAAATAAATAAATAAACATGTATCTTCTAAGAACAAGGACATGTTCATACCTAAGTGCAATGTAACTATTACACTCAAATGAATTTCATGCAATGGTACTAGCTAATTTGTATTCACATTTCTCAGTAAATGTCCTTTATAGTTTAATCTCCTTCTCTTGGGATTTAATCGAGGATCTTGTTTGCGTTGGTTTGTCATATTTCTTTACTCAGTAATTCCCCACCTTTCTTCTCTCTCTGGTCGCTCACCAGGTCAGCTATTTTGTAGATGGTTACAGTTCGGCTCTGACTTTACTGGTAGTTAGATGCCGATTGGTTTTCAGCAGGAGGGCTTCTGCCCAGGGGACTGTGTCTCACCGTGTCCCCGAGAGGCTCAGCATGACCAGGCCTCCTGTTGGTGACACTGAGTGTGGTACTTGGTCAAGGTAGTGCCCCCCAGAATGCTCCATGGTAAAGGTACTTGGATCAACGTATTTTAAGAATCGGTTCGAAACCCTATGGCTTGATCCCCGCATTTGAGCCCTCAGCGTCTGTACTGGGAGGAGCTGTGCGGTGCATGGAGGAAATCAAGGTAAAGCCATGTGAGCACATGACAAGTACTGCGACCTGAGGGACAAGGAGCTCTCCAGATGGGCTTCACCGGTGCCCGCAGTGCCCCCGTGGTGCCAGGCTCTCCTGTGTCATAAAAGAACCCAGCAATCCCTGGTTTTACCTGAAGCTCCCCGATCCTAAAGCGACAGGCAGACGCTGGCGGTGCCGTCCTGCAGGGGCACTGCAGGGTCTTGGTGGGGCGGGTCCGCCAGGAAATGGAATTGGTTCTAAGCAAGGTTTCCAGAGACGAGGGCCTGTGGTGTGGAAGGAATGTGTGGAAGGTGCGGGAGAGTGAGTGAGTCATCTGGGGAGTGGCGAGTGGATTTCCACGGCTCGGACTCCAAGTGCAGGTGAGCCTCCCAGGGAGACTGTCAGAGGGAGACCTTCGAGCACGTGTCGCGTGAGGAGGGAGCGGCAGGTCTGCGGTCTATGAGGAAAGGAGGCAGGGCCGTCACATGGCCCATTGGGGAGTAAGGATGTGGCCTCTGTTCTGTGGACTCTGCTGTGTCATTCCGAGTCCTCAGATCAATGTCTTGTAAAGGTCGTGTTGTCGAAAGTATTACATATGTCCCCTGATGTTTTTCTTACTGTTCTTGTGCAATCTGTTCTACTTTGATTTGTTGTTACCTACTGCTCTTGGTTAAACTGGGTTTACTAACACATTTTTGCTTTCCACCAGCTTCGGGCTCTGTATTCAATGTACCTCCGGAAAACAAAGAGTTTAAATAAACTGCTCTATCACCTGTTCAGGCTCATGCCCGAAAACCCGACCTGCACCGAGGCAGCTGCTGAGCCCAGCAAGGAGCCCAAGACCTTCTTCACGGAGGAGGTCCAGCTGAGTATCAGAGGTCAGTGAGGGGGTGTGTGTGCCTGTGTGTGTGTGCACACATGTTTGTGTGGTATGTGCATGTATGTGTGTGGGGTGTGTGTGTATGGTGTGTGTGTGTGTGTGTGTGTGTGTGTGTGTGTGATTTGTGTGCATGTGCATGTGTGTATGTGTGCGCACATGCATGTGAGCTCTCCTGGGACAGGTTCAGACCTGAGGGTGCAGCCCAGCCCCAGATGGGGCCTGGGTGCAAGGCCTTCCACGTTTCTCTAAGTAGGACATTCAGTGTGACCTTGTGGATAACGCTGTTAAGAATTAAAGACATTTTTGAATCCTAGGTTGTTGAGACTTACATTTTACTCTGTAAACAAGTATTTGTTGTGTGATAATGGTTTGTAGGCCTGTGAGTCAGTAGTCTGCCGTCGGGGAACAAAGACGAGTATGAGTTCTTTCCTTCACTGTGGAGGCTCAGGTTTTAGCCAAGGGTTCAGGCTGTTCTACCGTTGTAACTGATTCTTCGGAATAATTTGTTAAATGCCTTAGACTCAGGAAACCTTTGGAGCAGTGGTCGCCAGCTGGTGGTCCGTGAGGTCCGAAAGGATGGCGACCACTGCCTTAGAGCACCGAGGGCGGACTGTGAGGTTGAGGTGGGTGTTCTAGGACTTGGCGTAAATACGTCAGTGATGCTGGGAGTAAAGGTGGTGCGACTCCTTTCATCTTCTATTCCCCCCTTTGAAGGCAGCGCTTCATATTACCTGTGACTCTCCGTGTGAAATGCAGAATGCTGTTTCCAGGCAGATTTTCCCGTGTCAGCTGGAATCTTCTTTTTGCCGTGGTTCATGTTAAATATGTAGAAAAAGCTAATGTGGTAGCATCCCGGCTTCTTTGTTTGTTTTAGGAGCTCTAGTCCTCATGGGAGGAATTAGGATTTTCTTAGGAAAGTCCTTGTCTTTGTCTGTTATTCTGTGTCCGAGATACACGCTGCTGACGAAGACTTTGCTTTTCCCTCAGAAACAGCAACCCTTCCGTACCACATCCCGCACTTGGCTTGCTCCGTCTACCACATGACCCTGAAGGACCTGCCCGCCATGGTCCGGCTGTGGTGGAACAGCAGCGAGAAGCGCGTCTTCAATGTTGTCGACCGGTTCACCAGCAAGTACGTCAGCAGCGTGCTTTCTCTACAGGAAATAGCTGCTGTGCAGACAAGTACACAGCTGTTCAGTGGCATGACGGTTAGTATGCTCTTGAACTTTTTCTAGAAAGGTGATTTAAATATTGATTGTGTCTGACATCTGTAGTGAGTTGAGTATCACAATTGTGACCGTTGGTTTAGAATTTACAGGAATTGCTGCTGTATTCTCTGACTCTTGTAAGTCAAATCTCATATTAATACATAGATTGGAACAGTGGCATAATTTCACTAGCCCCCACCAAGGAGCTTTTGAATATTCATCAGTTCCTGTAAAATATACATCGGACACCTCCAGGTGCCGGGCTTGGTGCAAGCAGTGTGGTCAACAGCGAGGGCCTGGCCTGTGGGACGTGCCATCTGGTCAGGGAAGGGGAGACACCGACCACGGGTTGTGTTTGAGACTAGAACGTGGCACACGGAGGGGAAGAGTGTGGTCCCAGGCGAGGACCATTGGCTGAGGGAGGGGAGACGATGGAGAAAGGCGCTGTAAGGGGCAGGAGTTGGTCTGGGGAGACGTGTGGAAAGGCATTCGCTGCAGGGAAACAGTGGCAGAAGCAAAAGGCTGGGAGTGAGAACTTCTGTAGTTGCCCGAGGCAGGACGAGTAACCGTGTCCAGGGAGAGAAGGCTCCTGCAGGCGGCTGTCAGGGAGCGGGCGGATCTGCAAGGGGTTAGGTCACGCTGGGAAAGGCCTCACAGAACAGTCTGAAGTATTTGGTCCTGGGTAGCCACTGACAAATTTCCGTTGAGGGGGTGACGGGTGGCGTTATCATCTGTGCAGTTGCTCTGACTGACTGTGATATAAACCTGGCTGTTGAGTAGTGCGGGGTCGAGGCATGTGGGCAGTGCTGGCGTCAGAGCTGTGGGTGCGGGGCAGGCCTGGTGGGCAGTGCTGGCGTCAGAGCTGTGGGTGCGGGGCAGGCCTGGTGGGCAGTGCTGGCGTCAGAGCTGTGGGCGTGGGGCAGGCCTGGTGGGCAGTGCTGGTGGGAATGTAGACGGGGCGGGGAATTTGGTGGAAATGTACCCCAGCTTGAATAGCTGGGAGGAGGCAGAGGAGATGTTTAAGGTGACGCTGTGGTGTCAGCCTGGAGATTCGGGCGTCAGAGAGTCGAGTTGTTGGGGCCGGGGGTCATTGGTGTTTCACGTTGCGTGTGCAATGCTGTATGGAAACCAGAACCAGGGGTGAGTGTTCTTCTGGGAAATTCAGAATCCGCAGCAGAGGGAGGCTGGGCAGACACGTGGCACTTGATGCCCGAAGACAAGCAGTGATGACTAACCCATCTGTGCTTTGTCTGGTCAGAAACTGGTGTCATATGGTGAAGCTGGTAGAATAAAATAAAATACACTGGTTTTTTGTTGTTGTTGTTTAAATATATTTCTTTATTGATTTAAGAGAGGAAGAGAGAGAGAAAGACAGATAGAAACATCAGTGATGAGAGAGAATCATTGATCGGCTGTCTCCTGCACGGCGCCTACTAGGGATCAAGCCCTCAATCCAGGCATGTGCCCTTGGCCAGAATCAAACGTGGAACCCTTCAGTCCACAGGCTGATGCTCTATCCATTGAGCCATACCAGCCAGGGCTAAAATACACTGTTTCATGAGAGTGAATTTCCAGTAAAATGCACTTGGACTGTCCTAAACCACCATAAAACACACTCAGCTCTCCTCATCCGTGGGTTCTTCGTCCACGGCTCAGCAGCCTCGGGTCCAAAATTGGAGTTGGGTTCCAGGGATGTGGACCCACGGACAGAGGGACTCGTGGGGGCAGGGGAGTCCTGCCAAGCTGCCCTGTGGGTGCCGAGGGACGACTGTGTCAGGTACTTGTTAAATATAGATGTCCAATAAGTGAATGTGTTTACCTGCATTTTGCTTGAATGGAAACTTTGGCTGCTAATAGTCAACCTATTGAAATGCTTTTTGAGTGAAAAAAAAGGAAAGAAAATTTGACAAAACAAATATTACTGTTCGTGTGTTGCAGGTTAAGGCTCGAGCTACTACTCGAGAAGTGATGGCTACGTACAGCATTGAGGACATCGTCATTGAGCTGATAATCCAGCTGCCTTCCAACTACCCGCTGGGCTCCATCACCGTGGAGAGCGGGCGGCGCGTGGGCGTGGCCGTGCAGCAGTGGCGGAACTGGATGCTGCAGCTGAGCACCTACCTCACCCATCAGGTCGGTCCCGCACACACGTGGCCTCCACACTGAGGCCCACTCGTTGGTTCCTGCCGTGGCAGTGACACTGAACACACATCTCTCCTGCCTCAGCTGGAGGTGGGGATTCTGGCTCCTCGGTGGGCACAGATATGTGCCTGAGCGACTTGCGCCTGCCAAGGTTTCATGTTCATCTCTTTCTGGTGTTCGAGAGGAATTGATTTGACTTTATTGACATTATAAACGTACAGAACAATACATGGTAATTAAGGAAATGGTTAGAGATGGAATTTTTTGGTAAGATGCCGGACAGATGAATGTCTTCCAAGCTACGCTTAGTCTAACATTTCAACTCTCCTTCTGTGGTTATAGAAATCCCAGTACTTTTAAAGACCTTTGACTTTTAAACACCTATAAGTCTTCTCTAGTTTTGTTTACACATTGTGAATATTGCACAGTAAAGAAAACTTTTTAAAAAATAAATATATTGCCCTGACTGGTTTGGCTCAGTGGATCGTGCATTGGCTGTGGACTGAGGGGTCCCGGGTTCGATTCTGGTCAGGGGCATGTACCTTGGTTGCGGGCACATCCCCAGTAGGAAGTGTGATGGAGGTGGCTGATTGATGTTTCTCTCTCATCGATGTTTCTGGCTCTCTATCCCTCTCCTTTCCTCTCTGTAAAAAAAATTAATAAAATATATTTAAATAAATAAATAAATAAATATATTCACCAATTTGTAGAGCTGGAACAAATCAGCAGCAGGGAAGATAAAATGATTAATTGTTTTAGTTTGCCCAAACCGGTTTGGCTCAGTGGATAGAGTGTCGGCCTGCGGACTCAAGGGTCCCAGGTTCGATTCCGGTCAAGGGCATGTACCTTGGTTGCAGGCACATCCCCAGTAGGGAGTGTGCAGGAGGCAGCTGATCGATGTTTCTCTCTCATCGATGTTTCTAACTCTCTATCCCTCTCCCTTCCTCTCTGTAAAAAATCAATAAAATATATATTAAAAAAAAATTGTTTTAGTTTAAAATTCAGAAAAAATCTAAATGATTGACTTACTAAGAGTTTCATAAAGCAACAAGCTGAGACTGAACTTTGAAGTATTGATGCAAAACCCTTTTTTAATTCCTGTCTTTACTGGAGAAAGATTTATCTGTTCCAAAATTTCGGTGGTCATTTTGAAAACCAATATTCATAAAACTTAAAAGATGTGAATATAGCAAAACAGATTTTCTTCTCTCCAAGTTATAACTCAACTTTAAAATTTTTGAAGTTGAATAAAAATAACTGATTGGTTGTCTTCATTGTATATTCCTCTTTTTTTTTCTTCTTCTTGTTAACAGAATGGAAGTATTATGGAAGGCTTAGCGTTATGGAAAAATAATGTAGACAAACGCTTTGAGGGTGTTGAAGATTGCATGATCTGCTTTTCAGTCATCCATGGGTTCAACTATTCTCTTCCCAAAAAAGCCTGTAGAACATGCAAGAAGAAGTTCCACTCAGCCTGTTTGGTAAGTCTAAAAAGAAATTAACTTATTTATTATTTTATGTATAATGTGTATGTATAATATCTAACTTTGGAAAAGAAAACAGTGAAAAATAAACTCTTAATTGTAGTTAATGGGAGACATACTAAGATGGTTTTTCAAAATCTGTACAAAGTAAATAGTAAATTACTGAGAAATGGTAGCATGAAAGCATTTTAATCATTGGATGTTTCTAAAACAGGTCTCAGCACTCAAAAAATAGGTGGTCTTATAAGATCTAGACCAGGGGTGGGCAACCCCTGGCACAAGTGCCAAATATGGCACGCCAGTAACTTTTGCTGGCACGTGAAACCCTCTCTTATAATCTTCCATTTACAATTTTTTTCTTAATATTGACTTTTTTATTTTTCAGATAAATTCAGTGTAGGTGCATCTTAGATAAATAAATAATTTTACATAACAAGTTATCTTAAAGACCATAGACAAGGATTGACGAGAGAGGGGAAGAGCAATTTCTATGCCTCTGCCTTAACTCTCTCTGCCTTCCTAGATCCGACCAGTGTTTTGGTTTCATCCACATACGCTTGTGAATCTTTGTTCTCAGTGATGAATTTTGTTAAGTCTCGTAATAGGAGTAGCCTGAAGGATGACAGTAGTAGCTCGTGCATATCTCTGAAGGTCACGAAATAAAAACCTGATGTAAAATCTCTGTCATCAGTGATGCAGCAGCAAAAGTCCCACTGATAATATCAAACAAGTCATAAAGTTTTCTGTCGGACTATCAGTGTACATGTATACATTAAAAAATAAATGTATTTTTCATCATCATATACTGTGTTTTTGTCGCTCAAATGAATTTTATTATTTCTTCAAGGTTATTCACATACGTACACCTTAAGAGATATCAAGTTGGCGTAACATGTTCTCGAAAAATTAGGGTTGGCACGCAGAAGAGTTTTGAGTCAGAGATTTTGCTGGTTTGGGCACGCACTCACAAAAAGGTTGCCCACCCCTGATCTAGACCATAAAGTAGACTGAAAAGACTGAGCGCCGTCTTGCATCAGAGCTCTTGGCTCTTTTTATTTTTTTAAATGTATTTTCATTGATTTCAGAGAGGAAGGGAGAAGGAAAGAGAGACAGGAACATCAATGATGAGAGAGAATCATGGATTGGCTGCCTCCTGCACTCCCCACACTGGGGATCAAGCCCAGAACTGGGCATGTGCCCTGACTGGGAATCGAACTGTGACCTCCTGGTTCATAGGTTGACGCTCAACCACTGAGCCCCGCTGGCCAGGGCCCTCTTGGCTCTTTTTAAAGGTCACGTGGCCGTTTAGTTGCTTGGAGGTCTTCCTGGCCGGCTCAGTGGCATGTGCATGAGCCTTGGTGGGAAGAACCACACTGTAGCCTTTGTACATGACTCTGCGTGTGTTGATCTGGAGATGAGTGGGAGGAGCGTACAGTAGTCTCCCTCTTTTACTGTATCGTTTTAAGGTTACTTTAGATGTATATGGAAAATGACAGCTCTTTGAAAAGTTCTTCTAACATTTAAAACCTTTTCTTTTTCAGTACAAATGGTTTACATCTAGCAACAAGTCCACGTGTCCACTCTGTCGTGAGACCTTTTTCTGAGGTTTTCCCCCCGGAAGTGACCCTGAAGGAAAGCAAAGGCAGTGGACGGGCCGCCCGGAAGCGCTGGTGTGCGGAGGCAGTGAGCGTACTTAGACGGACCTGCTGGGGGAGCCCCTTGGTTAATGCAATGGCCCTGCAATCGGGTCTACTTACCTTTAGGTTGGTTTGTAACAGTTTGGGAACCTTTTCTTTTACATACGTATATTACGTATTTGAGAGAAAATATTTATAAAATAGTTTAATCTCTTTATATATTTAAAAATAAATATGGAAAACCCCTAAATTACAGATTTGGAATTTGTGAAAGCATTGCATTGATCTATGTTCTAGAACAGTCCAGTGAGGCAAATGAATTGAGAGGGATGATTTATACCTAGCAATATTTTAAGACTTATTTATTAGTTATGAAAACGAAATTAATTAGTATTCTGCTGTTTGTAGATTAATTTAATGATAAAAATGACTAAGCTATCAATATAGTTTGTCTTGAGCTGTTTGAAGCATGCTCTGCAGTCCTCCGTCAGCAAGTCCTCGGGCCCTCACGCCTTCGTTGTTAGGGCTCTGACTTCCAGACCATGAGCTCATGACACCGAGCTTTGCTGTGGAAGACTTTCGTGTGCCATGACATCCGGACTGTAGACTTGCCCATGAATTATTACTCAGTTACGTGAGAGTTTGAGAGAACAGGAATCAGATTACTTTCTTCATGAAGCAGAGTGGCATCTAGCCCTCTGTGAGAGGGAGGAGGAAATGAATGAGTGGTCCTGAAACTTAAAATTGGTGATGGGGGAAATTAAAAACAAAAAGTAATGCTGTAGGTGGCTTTCAGTTTTGTAAGCGAATTTTGCTATTCATACTGCCAAAGTTACATTAAATTAGATTTGAGGAAGCTAAACTTTCCAGTCAAGTTAAGGTTTTAGTACCAAGTAAAAGGGAACATGACAGGCTGACGTGGAGTCGTGAGACCTGCCTCTATCACAGCAGTGTTACCCTAAAAGCTGTGCCCGAAGCAGAAAGTGTGAGGTTTGGAACTTGGAGTAATTCCACTGCAATCTTTCATCCCTGGGGAATATTAGCATATCTAGCAGCCAGGTCACTTGAGAGATCAGCTAATCATCTCTTGCAAATGTTTAATTGGCAAAAGCAATTCATGTTAATAAAACAACTGTTCACCATCAAATGGGTAAAATGGTTATTGTTGAAATATGAATGTGATCAGAGTATTGTAGTCGAGAATGAGGTATTACGTGCGTTTCAGATCTCTGGAGTTGTGTTTGTGGGTGCGGAGTCCTACCCGGTTCTGTCTGTCTCCTGAATTTCTTCTTAGTATTTATTGTCCTACCGCCTTGGGGCTCAGAGAGTCCGTAAGTGAAGTGCAGGTAGCGAAATCCTACTACCTCTTCTTAACCCCTTTCTTCAAACGGCCGCTCTTCCCAGGTCGGTCTCTGACACAGTATTCCCAAAGGACTGCGTTACTTCTTTCAAAGGCACACACTTTTTCTTTAAAGATTGTTTTATAATGAGAGTTTGTTTATAACTTTTCCAGTATTGGCACTTCTCGGCCTCTGACCCAAACCCCAGGCAGGAAATGGAGGGAGGGAGGGGGCAGTGTTGCCAGCGGGACTCGGGCCCTGCCACAGTGAAGCCCTGTGACCAGGTGGGCACCGCTCCTCCCAGACGCCTCACGTCGCTCTGAGCTGTAAATACACGTGTAAATAGTGCTTGCTCCTGTTCCCTGCCAAAGAGAGGGCTTTCCGAAATGAGCCTGGAGTTCGGAGCACCACGCTGGTTACAGTTGTGTTAGTAGAGCTTTGGCGACGCTAGAGAACACCCCTACATTATAGCATAGGGACATTTTAACCTGCATGAGAGTCAAAGCCCATTAGCAAAATTATTAACTTAAAATCCTAATGTAAATTGCAAATTTTAGGATTTATTTTTAACTCTCTGTACCACATGCTCTAATGTATGTACATAAGTTTCCATAGCTTAAATAATTAATGTTATTAGTAAATAAGTTTGTGCTGTGAATAATTAATTTATTATTTGGTTGTTATGCCATATGTGCCCATTAAAATTCTTTTTAATTACAAAGTATGTCGAATATACAGAGTAATAATATAAAGCCCTTGTGCTCTTCACAAACTATTTTGCCACATTTGCTTCTAATTTTTAAAGAAATAAAATGTTACTCTCTTGTACTTCTGAGGCCTTCCCTCTCTCCTTCCTGGGAGCTAAATGGAAATTGGTGGGACTCCTTCCTATTGGAGAGTTTATACTTTACCACGTGTTGTGTTCATAAATAATATGTAGTGGTTTTTAAAAAATTCATATTTGTGATTTTGTATGTTATTTTTTGTAACTTGCTTTTTAACTCAACATAACTACCTTTTAGGGTCAGATTACATCAGTTTACTCACCAGTTCCCCCACTAATGGTCATTCCGATTGGTGTTCGTTGCCATTTGTAACAGTGTGCATTCTTGATGTGTTTTCTCGTGCAAATGTGCTGGGTAAATGCCCCGCATGGACGGCAGCTGGTGGCTGCCTGCTCTCCAGGGAGTGTGCACCCATGAGCCCCTGCTTTCCCTCCTCCTCTCCAACACTCAGGCTTACAAGACGCTGCCTCTTCTGGTCACAGCTGTGAAATAGTAGGTCTTTGTTTTCATTTACATTTACCTGGCTGTCAAGAGTCTTCATCTATTTATTGGTCATAGTTTTGTGAGTTTATCTTATTGATCATAATGTTTATCTATTACAGGGCTTCTTCAAGTACCGGGCTTGACTTTTAAAAGATTTTTTTATTGATTTTCAGGAGAGAAGGGAGAGGAAGAGAGAGAAATATCAATCGGCTGCCTCATGCACTCCCCCTACCAGGGATGGAGCCCACAACCAGGGCATGTGTTCTGACCAGGAATTGAACAGGTGACTTGGTGCATGGGACAAGGCTCAACCAGCTGAGCCACAGTGGCCGGGCTATAGGGCTTGGCTATCATGTGGTCTGTGGCTGTCTTTATTTTTTTTTTTTTTAAATAATGTTTGCTTTTTTTTAAAATATATTTTATTGATTTTTTACAGAGAGAAAGGGTGAGGGATAGAGAGTTAGAAACATTGATGAGAGAGAAACATCGATCAGCTGCCTCCTGCATACCCCCTACTGGGGATGTGCCTGCAACCAAGGTACATGCCCCTGACCAGAATCGAACCTGGGACCCTTGAGTCCACAGGCTGACGCTCTATCCACTGAGCCAAACCGGTTAGGGCTGTGGCTGTCTTTAATTGTACAGAATTTTTCAGTTAGGTTTAGTCAAATTTGTCAATCTTTTTTTAAAAGTTTTGTTCGTTACCCGGGGCTTAAAAAAAACTCTATGCCTAATTCACCTGGAAATAAATGTTGTGATTGCTGGACCACGGTACTCCTGAGCCATATCGATAGCTGGTTCTCACAGCATCACTTATGAAGCGGTATCTCGTCCCCAGGTTCCTGCGCCTTCTCATGCCGCCAAATACCCAGGTGTATTCTGTTCCACTGACCTATTTATCTGTTCTACACTTTTTTTTTCTTTAAAAAGGGTTTGTAATTAATCTTGAAGAGTAAAGAGTCCTCCACCCTGTTCTTCCGACTTCCCTTGGGTAGGCATCTCCTCGACTGCACCTGAGGGGTCAGATTATTGACATACAATCCTCCTTGGTCTAAGAAAAAATGTATAGCAATTTGCAATATATATGCAAAAAGAAAACAAATATATGGTAAAGGATAAAAGATAGGGAAAATCTTACCAGGGAGGAGAATGAAAGCAAGGCATCCTTCCTATCTAATAATAGACAAACATGGTAATTGACCGTACCTTCGCTACGCCTCCCATTGGCTAATCAGCGTGATATGCAAATTAACCAACAAAGATGGCAGCTAATTTGCATACTGCAGGCAGGGCAGGACAGTGCAGCCGCCAGCGCGAGCCGCCATCCCAGGCCACAGGCCGGCCCCAGAAGCTGGTGATCAGGGGGAGATGTGGGTCCCCTGCCCAGGCCTGACACCTCTGGCAGAGGCATCAGGCCTGGGCAAGGGGCTGATCCGGCGATAGGAGGGTGATGGGGGTCGACACCTCTGGCCAAGGCGTCAGGCCTGGGTGGGGGGCGGAGCCGGCAATCGGAGGAATCTGGGGGTCCCCTCGCCCAGGCCTGACGTCTTGGCCAGAGGCATCAGGCCTGGGGGGGAGGGGGGCAAGCCGGCGATTGGTGTGAACTAGAGGAAACACCTTTTTTTTTTTTTTTTTTTTGCCTGCATCGGTGGGTATAGGAGAGTTAACAGTCAACAATTAACAATAATGAGAGGCTGCGTGGTCTCTGCCTGGTGCCCTGGGAAACACCTTTTCTGACCACTCATTGGCTAAGCTCCTTGTATACCACTGGTAATATTCTTAGTAACTTGGGTAATAAGAATCCAAAAAGGTGATCTAGGGTTTTTCACCACACTCCTGGTGAAAAAAACGAAGGTCTGCTGCTGGAGGGCTAAGAAATGTCATATCCTGCCCTAGCCGGTTTGGCTCAGTGGATAATGCCTTGGCCTGCCGATGGCAGGGTCTGAGTTCAATTCTGACCAAGGACATGTACCTAGGTTGCAGGCTCCTCCCTGGCCAGGGCTCAGGTCAGGGCTCATGCAGGAGGCAACCAATCAAAGTGTTCCTCTCACTTTGATGTTTCTCTCTGTCTTTCCCTTTCTCTTCCACATTCTCTAAAAATCAATGGAAATATATCCTCAGGTGAGGATAAAAAAAAATAATAAAGAAATTATTATTATATGAAAGACACATCTTGAAAATGCCTAAAGAAAATTGTCATTTTTTCATGGTGAAGGGACTGGAGTCCGTGTTGATGAAAAAACCTTGCTGGCTGCGGTGACTGGCAGTGGCTGCGGCAGCGGGGTGATGGGGCTGGTGCCTTCCCCTGATCAGCCCGGTCACCTCCCACAAAGGGAGGCCAGACTGCGGCTTAGGCCCT